TCCTGCAGTCACTTCCAGCCTGCCTTTGCTGCCTCCATTTCCATGCAATTGGGAGATGTGTGTCAACCTAACATGAGAGGCTAACTCATGACATTTTTGTTTATTCTCTTCTTCCAGGAGCAGGCACTGATGCCAATGTGTTCTTGATCCTGTTTGGGCAGAACGGGGACAGTGGGACCCTGGCTCTGAAGGAGTCCAACAACTCTAACAAGTTTGAGAGGAACCAGATGGATGAATTTAGCTTCTCAGACATGCTGAGCCTGGGAGATCTCTGCAAAGTGAGGATCTGGCATGACAACAAAGGTCAGGGCAGTGACTTGGGGGTTGGGAGAGCTTGGGGCAGTGTTTTCACTTGAGGAAACACATCCTACTCTGTGGCTGCAAGGCAGGCTGAGTGCACTGTTCCCAGCTCTGCTGCAGGCTGGGTAGATTACCTGGATTTTACCTGGGTCCTGGTCCCAGCTTGCCTGTCTAGTTATACCCCCTTGATGCAAGTGACCATCTCCTTGCACGACAGTGTAGTGTCTGCTTTAATGGGCCCCATCTTCAGTCTGAGCTTACAGCCACCACTGCAGCACATAGCTTCTCCAGAGCAAAGCCGTTCAGCCTGCTGTCCCAGCACAGCAACTCTATTCATGCAATACCTTTCACACAGGACAGCACAGCACTTCCAGAGCAATTTAATTCTATCAGCCTGACACAACACATAGGGTAATGAAGCCTTGCATAATACAGTCAGCTTTAGAAGACATAAATAAAGATCTGTGTCTGTTAAGATCACTACATCAGCCTGTTAGCAGGCAGTGCCCTTCTGAGAGAGATTCTGACATTTCCCCATTGCTGGACTCCCTGTCTTTGGTTTGTTGTTCTGTCTGTTGTTTCACAAATAGCAGAGCAGTACTGTCATAATCATTTGTGTTATCATTCAGGCACCAAGTGGTATCTTGTAACAAATTCATCACTGACACTGCTGTGATGACATCCCATCCTATCTTCATGTAAAAGAGATTTTATTGCATTAGCAATGACTCGCCTGCTAAAGGCTGACCCTTGCTGCAGCCTACAGGTGAAGCTCAACGGCTCCCACAGACCCACCTGGGTCACTACTAACAAGACCTGGTTGTACTGAGGCAACTGGCTTATGGCTGGGATGAGATTTTATGTCAGCATAATTCTTCCTGGCTATCATTTTCTGGAGTGATCTGAGTTGTGGCAGATGGGGAAGGCTGCATCTCATACAATATCAATAGAAGATCCTACCTCTGCATCAGACTTTCCCACTGGAAGTTTGGGTCCTTACTGTTATTAAAAAAAATTAAAAATTTTACTCTAACTTCTGTCCACTGTGAAATATGGGAAACACAACCATCCACCTAACATGGTTGTTTATTCCCAGACACTGCAATCTTTGAGCTCCTATTCATCACTCCCATAACAGAGCACAATTTAGTTCATTACACTCTGTAATTTCATGTTATACAGGTGATGCCAAATGCAGTAATGAAGTTGTTTTTACCTGATTACTTTGCCAAAACATTTATTCCTATGGATCTGCAGTTCAAATGTAGATATGGAAAGGGCTATCAAAACACTCAGAAGAGTTTTAGCTCAGCAAACAGGCATTTCCACAGTTGCAAGGGTGGTTCAGATGTCATAAATCATAGAATCAGCTAGGTTGGAAAAGACCTCAAAGATCATTGAGTCCAACCCTACTGTGGTTACTAGACCACGGCACTAAGTGCCACATCCATTCTCATCTTGAAAACCTCCAGGGATGGTGAATCCACCACCTTCCTGGGCAGCCAGTTCCAATGTCTCATTACTCTCTCCATAAAAAATCTCTTCGTAATATCTAACCTAAACCTCCCCTGGCAGAGCTTGAGTCTATGCCCTCTTGTCCCACTGCTGGTTGCCTGGGAGAAGAGACCAACCTCCACCTGACTACAACCTCCTTTCAGGTAGTTGCAGAGGGTGATAAGGTCTCCCCCAAGCCTCTTCTTCAGGCTAAACAACCCCAGCTCCTTCAGCCTCTCCTCCTCCTGATAGCAGCAAGAAATCAACACGGACTTTCAGATTTGTTTCAAATCTATTGCCAACTAAAATATGTACTAAAAGAATATTTTCCTCAAGAGACATCATGGCTCCTTGGTGTCCAGCCGTGCTAACAGAATGAAACACACCCACCAGAGCAGAGCTGGTACTTAGGACTCAGGCACATCAACAGGCTGGGATGTAGGAAGATGAGAACTGGATCAGATCAAGGGTCTGTGGAGTCCAGCAGCTGTTCCCAACAGCAGCGTTGCTGGGTGCCTGAGGAAGAGGAGAAGCTGAGCAACTGTGTGTAGTCTTTACACAATCCTCTGCATCTTATGCATAGCTCAGGGCACTTTGTGATTTGGATATCATTTTTGTCCCTTACATAACTTTCAATGAATTTTCTCATTCAAGTTCTTGCCCAGGCCCTCCAGGAGGCATTTAGCACCCACACATCCTGTGGCAACGAGTCCTATGGGTCTGTTATCTGTGGCATGACAAGCAAATCCTGTTAAGCCAGATAGTTTTGTTGCCTTTTCTTTCTTGCACAAGTGACCATGGTTCACTTTCTCTGTGCCACTGATGATGCTGTGGATACAGGCTGGGGAGTCACCACATTGCAGCTTTGCTACGGAAATTCTATCTGCATGTTTTTGCTTAGTGGCAAAGGGAAGTAACAGAGTTTAACCTTTAGGGCTAAGCAGTAAATAGGCTCAGTTAGTTTAAATTGGCTCTGGGCTATGAGCATGAATCCAGATAGCCACCACAAGTCAGCTAAAATAGTAAACTCTGTGTCCAAAACCTGAAATATGTGTATAATTACACATTGCAACCTCATATTCTCTTGCTTTATTTCCTCATAACACTTGTTTCCACTTATAAATACTAGTTTTTACCAGACCTGGCTGATTGTAGGCTTAATTTAAGCCTTGGACAAAAAACATGCTCAGGTTATGTTTGGCAAAAATGTACTTGCTCTTCCCTGCAGAAAGAAGGAAAACTGTACTTTAAATCATAACATATGTTGTCTAAATTGTTCTTGCACTAGTCTTGTGAAAGGCATATCATATCTAAAACTTCACACAATGCAGCATGACAGTTTGTTGGGTGGGTAGAGTATTTGTTATCCTAGGATATAGCTATCCTTTGAATATATACCTTCTCTCTACATATATAATTTATATAAATTGTCTGTGGCACTGCATAGAAATTTCTGCCTGTATTTTTGGAAAGGAGTAGTGGCATCAGGGGTCAAAGGTCATATATGTTTTTTGTCAGATGCTTAGGGACCTTTGGGTATTAAATGAAAATGTACTTGTATTTACCATTAGTTTTAAGCATCAGATGTTGACCATTCTTTCCTTAGCTTTTTGCTTTTGTTTTTGGACTAAATCATTCTCTGCTAACTGTCTGTGAAAGGCTCAGCCTCACACTGGCCTACCTCATTGCTCCTGGAATGCTGAATACTTGGAACACGGTTGATGGTTTTTCCTTGTCTTCTAAATCATCAGTTTCAGTCATGGAATCATATGTTCACAGAATCATAGAACAGCTTGGGTTGGAAGATAACTTAAAGGTCATCTGGTTCCAAATCCCTGTCATGGGCAGGGTCACCTTCCACTAGACTCGGCTGCTCTAAGACCCATCCAGCCTGGCTTTGGACACATCCAGGAATGGGACAGCCACAACTTCTCTGGGCAACCTGTGCCAGTGCCTCACCACCCTCAAAGGGAAGTTTTCTTCCCAATATCTAAACTACCCATGCCCTCTATCAGTGTGAAGTCATTCCTCCTTGTCCTGTGCCTCCAGGCCCTTCCCCAAGTTCCTCTTCAGCTCAATTGGAGCACTTTTAGGCACTGGAAGGGTCTCTAAGTTCTCCCTGAAGCCTTCTCTTCTCCAGGCTGAACAGACCCAACACTCTCAGCCTATCTCAATGGCAAAGCTGCTCCAACCCTTGAGCGTCTCTGTAGCCACTTCTGGACTTGCTCCACCAGTTCCATGTCCTTCTGATGTTTGGGATCAATGACAACATCACGTTACAGGTCTTGAGTGTTTATGGTCTAGTTAGGGGAACTACTAACCATCACAAAGCTTCTTTCTCTTTCAGGCACCACCTGGTGCCAGCAAGAAGTCAACAACCTGCCACTGTTTCAGGATAAAATACATTAAATGTCTTGCCCAATGTGGCTACTTTGCTATATGCTACAGTTCAGCATCCCTCCATCAGCGAAGTCTTGCTGCAGTGACTTTGATGCCAGTTCTCATCCTACTTTTGTTTCCCCTTTCACGGAAATTTGACTGTAGTGGGGTGTTCAGTCTTGAAGAGACAGTAACTGCAATGGCAAAGATTGTTAGAAGTTCTTTAAATTGCAAACACTGTTTGCATCCTCTGGAAAAGCATGTCAGTTTTATGGTCCCACTTTAATGATTTTAAATGCCATTTCCCCACAAAAAGTGCTGAGTGGCATCTTTGTATGTGACATAAAGGACAAATGAAGCCCCCATCTAATTCCTCTGACTTCAGGGAAAATGACTTAGGGAGGAAGACGACACTTGTTTGAAAAGAGGCAGTTTAGAGAATTGCAACTGCAATTTCAAGGAACTTGTTCCTGATTTTGTTTAGCTGTTTAGAGCTCACCAGTGAGATTCTGGTAGCAGTAAAGTGCCATGAATGAAATTTAGTTTTAATGTTGCTCCTTGTCTTTTATCTTGTCCCTGTTTACTCTGAGATACTGATGTTCGACCTAATATATTTAGAGTCCCCGAGCAAATTTAATGACTTGCAGACTCCTCATCTACTGATGTCAGATAGACACTATGTATTTTCTCATATCTCAGTTCATTTACTTCTACATTTATGCAAGATCAGTATCTGTAGGTCTGTAGAAATTCTGGCTTTCTAAATATAGGCCTCAATTTTTACTCTGCTTTAAGAACTAAGTCACTATTCTGGAAGAGTGGCTTAAATTTTCTCAGTAACTCAGTAAGCAAATATTTACCTAGAAAAAGCCTTTGGTTTTGGTTTTAGGGTTTTTTTGGTGGGGGGGGAGGGAGGGTTGGGTTTCTTTTAATTGTTACTGCCTTTTTCTTCATGCAACAAGGAGATATGGGAAATCTGGACTTCGCTCCCTCATCTGCCTGTGTAGATTTGAACCTAGGTGATAAGCAGTCTGTCTAAAGTCATTAACTTCAGATTCTTGATTATCTTGGTTGCCATCCACCAAGGGGAGCCAGGAAGAGTCTAATTATGGATAAACTAGACTTCTCTT